TATTTTTTATTTATATTTTCTTTTACAGAAGTGGCAGGAAAGGCTAGTATCTTTATCTCCCCCTTGAGTACTTGCCTGTCTTGACCCAGGTATCAAGGCAAGAGGTATACTGGCATAATCTGGGTTCATGTCTCACAGAGTTGAAGAGTGAAATCAAGGACAAAAGAGGTAGACAGGAGTAATGTTTATTAAGAAGAAAAAACTAGCTTCCAATAGTCAGGAGGGGACCCAACAGTGGGTTGCTATGCGGACTCTTTGTCTGAGAGTTTTTATATCAAAAACTGACCAGGGCTCAGACCACTCTGAATCAAAGTCAACCTGTGGGCCTAAAAAAAACTTTTTTTTTTTTTTGAGACTGAGTCTCTCTTTGTAGTCCAAGCTGCACTTGAACTTACTATGTATCCCAGGCTGGCCTCAAACTCACAGCAATCCTCCGGCCTCAGCCTCCTGAGTGCTAGAATTACAGGTGTGTGCCATCATGCCTGTCTTAAAACAAACTTACTTAAACTAGAAATGGGACTATGGGAAATCAAGGCACATAGCAAATGTATGTGTGTTGGTGTCTCTTGGCTTCTATCTCCCTAAGTGTTTTGTTAAAAGAACAATGTGAGGAAAAATGGAAAATTGTTTTTTTGGATAGGTTGGAGCAGAAGTTATCAAGGTGGGCATCCATCACCTTACTTATTATCTTGCTTGTTACATCCTGAACTGAATTGTCCATCTGTTTCTTGTAAATTCCTGACCTCAACCTTCTGAGTACTGGAATTACAGGTGTGTGCCACCATGCCGGGCTTAAAACAAACTTAATTTTGTTTTAGGGCCTGGCCATCCTGACTCTACTATGGGCCTGGTCATTCCCTAGATGCCTGCTGTCTTCTGCCTAACTTGCCTATCTATAATAGGCACATATTGAATGATTTAATATCATCATTCCTGTTAGACTTCCAGTCTGGTTATAGGTGTTTATTTACCAACCCCTCACACAGATTAAGAGGTACCTCTGAGCATGATGTGTTCTAGAAAGACTATGTATGACTTTTTGTTGCAAAGGATGCCCAAGGTAGAGATTGTTGCCCTCATGGTGGCCCTCAAGCCAATGAATCTCTTGGTATTCTCATTTTTGGATTTTATTCTGGACACTTCAGGGGACCTGAGGACTACCCACTGTGACATCCAGTCCCATCTTTAGTTAGTTACTCATTATCCATCCAGGAATTTAATGAACAACTCTTATTATTCCAGGCTTTGAAGAATTTCAAAGGGATATAAGGTCCCTTATCATTAGGAATTCATACCATCCAAGTCAAGGCAGAAGGGTGCTGGGCACTGAGGAGTGGAGCCTGAGCAATCAGTACCACATGAATTCAGAGGAAGATATAAACTTGGGCTGGAGCTTCCTGAAGCCTAGGGCCAAGCTTCCTGGAAAGGTAGAATCTGAGTATCCTGAAGTATCATGGGTAGGATTTGAACAGGTGGTTCAAGGGCAGGAAAGCAACTTAAGCCTAAGGAAAAGCAAACTTATTAAGAGACTTCCTTAAAGTTATGTTCTCTTACAGGACTGATGCCACCACTGTGGTCACTACAAGGGCTACCCACCTGTTATGGAAGCTTGACAGGCCAGAGCACATGCACAGGGAACATCAGAAGTCCTTGGAGGGTACACAGGGCTTGTATCCTATGGGATTCCCATGCTGACTTCAGGCTAATGTTTCAGAAACTAGTGAGTACAAGACTGGCAGAGTTGCTCTTGGACTCTGAGGCTCTCAGACCTACCTTCCATCCAGAGAATTATATGATTCCTATCAACTGGACCATCATATGTAAGGGATTTTAAATTCAGTCCCTTAAAGCAGGAAATGGACCAGCAGGGCGACATGTTTAACACTGGACATTGTTATGATATTCTTCTCTTGTTGCCCTTTTTTGGAAATCTTATCTGAGGGAACTGATAAAAGAAGATTTTGAGACTTATTAAAACCAACTGTATCTGCTTTCAAGGACTACACTGTGCCTTCGAGGGTCAGCAAAGAAACTGGTCTGGCTGAAGCAAAGGAATTTTCAAGAGAATAGAGAAAAGAATGAGAACAGCATGATGCAGCAACTGTAGTGGTAGTCTGCAGACCAGTGGCGCCTGGGTCCAGAGATACCCATGGTCTTCCTCTAACATTACTTCCTGCTTTCAGGATCTTCTCTCTACCCACTGCACAGCTGTCTTCCTCAGTGAAGATCTAATCAGATCACCCTCTTGCTACAACTTGGGGAAGTGTCTTGGTCACACAGCAAAACAAGTTCAGGACCTCTAGCAATTTGGCAGATGGTTTTCCCATCACAAAATAAGGAAATATTCAGTAAACTAAGCCAGTAATGGTGGTGAATGCCTGTAACCCTAGCATTCAGGAGACTGAGGTATGAGGATTGCTGTGAGTTTGAGGCTAGCCTGGGTTACATAGTGAGTTCAAGGCCATCTTGAACTACATAGTGAGACCCTATCTCAAAAAAACAACAAAATATACTACTAATAATCAATAAACAAAAAGATTCAAAAATTTTTAGTGTATGCTGTCTTTGAACAAATGAAAGAAGCTTCTCTGGTAAAAGAAATGAACCCATAGCCAAAGCAGGAAGCCTGGAACCTGTGGAGACTTTAGAGGAGCTATATTGAAGTTCTTGAACCCTACAGAGGTTTAGACTCCCATGTAGGAACCAAAGCTGTGACCATAGGCTTGCTTGGAGGAGAGATGTTATCTGAGTTCCACAGAAAAACAAGAACATCAAAGGTATATTCCTTCCTTAAAAGGAGATTAGAAAATGCTACCCACAAACTCAGGAAAGTATGAAGAAACAAATTGTCTGCCTTTGGTTATGGATGCCAAGGGGATGAAAATACATTGCACAGAATCCAGATCTTTTTTTTTTTTTTTTAATTTTTTGGTGGTGGTAGGGATCCAACACAGGACTTTGTGCATTCTAGGCAAGTGCTCTACCTTCAGCTCCAAAGTCCAGATTTAGATTACCTTTGAAGTTCAGGAGCACAAAAAGGGAAGCAACGTAATATTTTGTCTAAAACAACTGAAATCTCTGGGATCCCAGTTGTTTTTGGTTTAATAAAGAATGGGTTCAATCTCCAGGACTTTGAGAAAAGGAAGGGATGGAGGGAGGGAGAGAGGGAGGGAAGAAGAAAATAAGGAAGAGAAAACTTCTTTAGAGAAAGGATGTTAGTTCTTTATAGGCAATGTCACAACCCAGGGCACTGGAAAGTCACACAGAAAAAACAAATCCTACTAACAATGGGCTTCCAAGAAGAAGTGACACATCCTGTGAGGAAATGAGCCTTTGTGAATAGGAGCCAGCAGACACCTACATCAGGTACTCAGCATCTCAAGGACTGCGGATACAGGATAACCTTAAAGAAACTTTAACTGAAAACTGAATTCATACCCAGCATCTCAAACGTTAAACCTGGTGGCCCAGTCCCTGCCCAGCTTTTCCTCCTCTGTTCATGGAATTCTGGTTCTTCCTGTCATACAGGCTCAAAATTTTAAGCCACCTTCAAATTCTTCCTGTCTCAACTTCTTCCCTTAAAAATATCTCTTCCCCTCTCCTCTCCTCTCTTCTATGATGTTCACGCATTGGGTCTTCCAGCCTTCTTGTCCCTAGAGTACCTTCTTTCTCTGTACTTCACCCTGTGCTGCCACTGTTAACCTCCTAACTGGTAAGCCCCATGATTTTATATCCCTGAGCCAAACTCCGAAGTCCAAGTAGCTATCCCTAACTTGACCTAAACTTCCTTTTCAGTTTCATTTCCTGTTATAATATCACCCTCTCCTAACCCTCACCCCACCTCCTTTTCCTGTTCCTGCTACACTGGCTTAGTAATCCTTCCCACACCTTCCCTAAGGCTTCCAAGCAGTCTGTCCCCTCTGACTAGGATGCTTCTCCAGCACATCTGCTGACTGAAGGCCTACCCTAGCTTAAACCTTCTAAAAGTATGATGTCACAGAAGAATGCACACATCAGGGCTAGACACAACTTGTTTCAAATTTCAATTACGTCACCTAATAGCTCTGTGCTTCAAGCAGTGAGAAATCATGAGCTCTCTAAGCCTGTTTCTAATTATATGAAATGAGAATATACCTGCTGTGCACAGTTGTGAGTAAAGATGATCTATATAAAACACCAAGCTCAGAGCCCAGCCCCAGTACTTGGCTTCTCTACAAGACCTGAGACCCTTGCTCATTCATCTTTGCATCATTAGTGTCTAACACAGGAATCCTTGAAACACAGTGACTGATGAAAATTAGCAAGAATCAGGCACACAAAGCTGGAAGGGAAGAATCTGGATACAGGGAGCTGAAAGGTCTGATGTTAGGGGGGCACCAAAGGTCAATTGGTGGTGTCCTCCAGAGAGGACAGAACTGCTGATCCAGAGGCTGATTTTAATGCAGAAGAGGAAGGACTAATATTTAGTGCCGCTTCACATAAGAACAGGTGTCAAATGTAAGTTCTTTGCCATTAAAAAAAAAGCTCATATTACATAAAGCACTCCCAGGTTGGGTGAGGGATCAGGTTAGATCAGTGATCCTTAACTTGGAAGGGGGACAGGTATCTTTGAAACTCTGATAAAAGTTATGGATCTTTTTTAGAAAAATGGCCCAAGGCATGTTTTGCAGGTAAGTTCAGAACCTTCATGGATCCTCAGTAATCATCACCTGAAAACCCTTCTAAGGATGTTGTATGTTCTCCTCTCTCCAATTTACTATGAATTATGAGAGAGAGCTTGTTGTCATCCTTATCTTCAGAATTCACAATTTCTACAAAACACCCATTCCACATCTAAAAACTCAGTGACTTTTGCCACAAATTAAATGCTTTACATATTTTTTATTAAGTAATCAAATGAATGAAATAACCAAAAGCTCCTTAAGGAAAGATATGAGCTATAAGGAGAAAAGAAAGGAAAAAAGAAACTAAGTTTTTAAAAAAGCAGCATAGAATGACAAAAGCTGGAAAAAGTGTTAATCAGGTTAATCAGGGTTAGGGAGGAGGGTGAATTTTGAAAGACCTTAACTCCCAGCCCTCTTGGCCAGGGCTAAAGATCCCAGGGAACCTCTCAACTGAAGATTCTATGGGAGCAGACTCACCCCCACTGCTGCCCCAATTGCTTGCCCCAAGAGAGATAATGACATGTTCCCATTTCACCAGGGAAAATCATTCACAATGATCATGACCATGTCTAGAAGATACTCAAATCTGATTCTGAAACCTATTTGCCTTTGTGAACTTAGCCTTCAATTTATTACATATGTAATCTCATGTCTTCATTCACACATGGTAATGAACTATTAAATGAAGTGTAATAAGTTTTTTTCTTAGAGTATCATGGTTCAAAGACTACTTGATTTTCAACACAAACACCAATAAAGATAAGTCCCAAGAAAAAAATATTCTGTCCAAAAATAGAAATTTTTGTTTGTTGACCTGAGCTGAATTTCTCAAGGATTAGCTGGTCCTTTTGGTTCATATGGGCAGAGATAAGCTACTTGGGCCCAGTCATGATTTCTTGCTCTTACTCCCTGTGGACTCTCACATGGAGACACACCCACCCCTGTGGGATTTCCGAAGGCTTCGCAGGCTTTTCAGCGCCTCTGGGAGTCCCTGACCAGTGAAGGCACTACAGGCCCGGAGCTCCCAGCAGTGACCCTGGAATCTCTCCAGTCCCAGCCTGTTTCTAATCTCAAGCAGTGGAAGAGCATCAGGTGCCTCCTGCTTGTTGGCCAGCAACAAAAAAGGGACACCGACCATGTTGGGATTGTTCAGGACTTTCATGAGTTCAGCTAATGCCTCAGGCAAGCGGGCTTCATCTGTGCTGTCCAGCACATACATAAGGACATCAGTGCCTTCCAGGTAGTCCTTCCAGCTGGCCCTGAGCTGGGTCTGCCCCCCAATGTCCCAGAGAACCAGTGGTACGTGCCCAAGAGCTTCAAGAGGTTCCACATTGAAACCAACAGTGGGTACCGTCTCCACCAGCTGGTAGCCCTTCAGTCTGTACAGAAGTGTGGTCTTGCCTGCTGAGTCCAAGCCCATCATCACCACCTGGGCTTCTGTCTTGTGACCTCTGGAATTCACAGAACCCATGTTGGCCAAAGCTGAATCCTATGGGAGAAAGGCCAGAGGCACACATCAGCTATTCTTTTTTGAGAGTACACAGACCCATGCAGGCTCATGGAAGAGCTTCTACTCCAAAACAGGGCAGATCTCTCCAGGGTCAGGATTCCAACCTAGCCCCAGCTATAAGAAGGGCCAAGAAGTGAGGGAGTGTGAGTCACCACCAGCTGACCAACCTCTGGGGCCCACTTCAAGAAGAGTGTGGGGAAGAGACTGGAATGCAAGCTTACTTTTCTTAATGTCAAAGCAAAGTGGGGCAAAGTAAAGTTACACTTAGTCCTACTGAGCTCAGTAGATATAGAAAGATGTCTTCAGTTTGTGCTAGGCTGTGGCCTCTGATCTCTGTTTGCCTTCCTAAGCCTAAAACAGGAAATGGCAGCCACATTAGGTCCCAGCCAGTCAGCTAGCACTGAACTCTGCTGCCCTGAAACTCCCCCACGTTCTAGCACACTGTCCAGTCCATGAAGGCTATATATATAAGCACTGTGAATGGGGGGGGGTAAAATTATGAATTAAGCTAAGTAGTTTTCCTCCATATGTTTTACCAAAGTAAATAACCTCCAGAATGCTCCATGTATTTTTAAAGAACCCTAAATTTTAAGACATAAGACCTGTCTCCAACTTAGGAGAACCTGGGGAGAACAGGAAAAGGCATATCACACCTTCAGGAGTGTGTTTCAGCTGCCCCTGGAGGAAAATAAGAAGCCTCTGTTCATTCTTCTTGCCAAGAGTAGAAGAATAAAAATTAAAATTACCTTGGTGTTTTGATTAGACTGTGGCAGAGCGTTCCTCCTCTGGGGCTCTCTTCTGTCACAGAGCTGCTTTCTGCTAGTCAGCCATGTCCCAAGAGTGAGACAGGAGGAAGTACACTGCCTGTTGCAATTTCTCTTTTCTATTTCCTCTTCCCAGATGGTTGGAGGTGGTGGGGGTGGGACATCATTCTACTGGGGTATCCTCAGCTCTTCAGCTCTTAGTGGAGCTAGGCCCAGCATCAACTCCCACTTCTTAGCAACTCAGCCTGGATGCCCAAAGGAAAGTGTATGAGCCTGGAACTGTGCCCAGGTTCCACTGTTTTCTTTTGCTTTTCTTCTCATTATCCTATCATTTCCTTGGAGAATAATTCTGAAAATCACAACTTATAGTACATCAGTGTTCTTCTGGTGCCTGGTGATTTATTTGCTTGAAAGTCTGAAAGTTATCAAAGTAAAAATGGAGTCACTTTTGTCAAGCCCTAACCAAAAAAATGTTTAAAAAGGAGGGAATCTTATGCACTATGTCTGATAAGAACTATTCACAAAAGATGCTGCTAGAACCACAACTTTACACAAAAATACTTCTGCAATGATGTCTGCCCAGCAACTATTTGTTTAATATTGAACTAATGCCTCTGTTTTAGCCAAGTACTATTATTTCAAAGTAGCTTGTGTGCTCCTCCTTGTTTTTGCCTTTAAAGATGTCCTCTTGCCTCAACTTCCTTGAATAAGCACATAGTTTACTATGGTTCACATATTACCACTGTGATCCTCTATTTCCAAATAAATCTCCTTAGACTTTGGAGAATCTCTCTCTAGTTGTTATTTAAGTTGACAGATCATATGTGCTTGCTTCTTTCTTTCTTTTTGTTTTTTTAAGACAAGATCTTACTATGTAGTTCAAGCTGGCCTTGAACTCACTATGTCGCCCAGGCTGGCCTCAAACTCAAGATGACCCTCCTGTCTCAGCTTCCCAAGTGCTGGGATTACAAGTGTGTATATGTGCTTTAAAACAGTAACTGAGTAGAGGAGCCCAGTTTCATGGGCACCAACACAGTGGTGTTCATGTACCCCAACCCTGTGAACAAGAGAAAGAGGGCCTTTGTGAGGCTCCTAGATGAAAATTGAAGCCCACTGGAAAAGTGAAGAAAATCTGTGATATAGGCACATCACACCACCATAGTTGATTGCCTCAGAGACATTAGAGACTCAAAACCAAAAGACTAGCTGTATCTGGAAGATCTAAGTATTAACCTAGTAATTAAACCAAGGACAGGACCAATGACAAAAATAGAAATGAGAAGGCATTTAAACAAGACACAAACACAGATTTACACCCAACCAAAGGTAAAGTCTGGGGAAAATGAAGTGGAAAAGTCTTGACAATCAACTATCTGAACACCCTGAACTGATAGTACAGGAAATAAAACAACAACAAAATCCAGATAAATGAGGCTCTAGAAAAATTCAAAACAGAAATAATTTCCCAGATAACCACAGAGATGGTGAGAAGAATGAAAGATATGATTAGAGACTCCAGAACAGAAACATAAAAAAAATAGATGTGCTCAGGACCATGATGGAAACCGTGAATTCCCAGCATAGGAAAGAAATGGAATCCATGAAACAGATTCAAACAGATATCCAGGAGATTAAAAACTCTGTTAAAAGCATTCACAGCAGGATAAACAAATGTGAAGATAGAATTTCAGATATAGAAGATAAGATTGCAGTCAGTATTTATGAAAGAAAAGACCTATTAAAAACAGTAAGGGACCACGATAAATCAATCCAACAACTCTGATGCACAGAAGAATAATATAGCACTGATAGGAATCCATGAAGTAGCAGGAGAAAGTTTAACATAAAACATAAAAAAAGAATGATTCACAGAATTCATGACAGAAAATTTCCCAAACAGAGGGGAAGAATTTTACATACACATAAGTGAAGCAGATAGGACTCCAAGTAGCCATGATTAAAAAAATCCACACCTAGACATATAATAATCAAGATCCCGGAAACCTAACAGAAAAACAAAATACTACAAGCAGTTAGATAAAAGAAACAAGTCACATGCAAAGGAAAGCCTGTCAGAATCATAGCAGACATTTCAACAAAAACCCTCAAATCACAGAGAGCCTGGAGTGGGAAATAAGGTACTTCCATGCCAAAGAACACCTGAGGAATTTCATAACACCAAACCAGCACTCCAAACACTTTTAAACAATATCCTGGAAAAAGAAAATGAAGACCACAATTCCATAAGAGCCAACAAAGCAAATATACAAGGGAAGGCAAGAAATTAAAGGGAGAGAGGGAAAAATAAAAAACAAAAGAAACCACAGTGGAAAATAATATGGCAATGAAAAGTCAATACAGGACAGTTATAATCATCAAAATTAATGGCCTCAATTCACTAATCAAAAGAAACAGTCTGGCAGAATGGATTAAGAAGCAAAATCCAACAATATGCTGTATACAAGAAACCCACTTAATCCACAAAGAAATTCATAGACTGAGAGTAAAAGGATGGAAAACAGTTCTCCATTTGACAGGAGCCCAGAAAAAAGTTGGGGTAGCTATCTTATTTGCAGACAGAATAGATTTCAAACCAAAACTAATTAAGAGACACAAACAATCCAATAGGAAGAGATGATAATCATAGATATATATGTACCAAATACTAATGCCCCCAACTATACAAAACAAATATTAATGGATAGAAAAATGAAATAAATACTAATACAGTTGTAGTGGGGAACCTCAATACACCATTGACACAAGTAAACAGATCATCTATACAAAAAAAAAACAACAAAATAAAACAACTGAGCCAAGTCTTAGAACAAATGGACTTAGATGTTTACAGAGTGTTCTGCCCCACAAAATCATAATATACATTGTTTTTGGCTGCATATGGGTCATTCTCCAAAATAGACCATATGCTAGCTCATAGAACATGCTTGAGTAAATGCAAAGGAATTGAAGTTATCCCCTGTATATTATCAGACCATAGTGCAATTGAACTGCAGATAGCTGAAGAAACCACAAGAACTTCAGAAACATGTCAAAATTAAATAACACCTTACTGAACAATCATGGGGTCACAGAGGAAATTAAAGAAGAAATTAGGCAGTTTCTACAATTAAATGATAATACCAATACAACATACAGGAATCTATGGGACATAATGAAAACCGTTTTATGAGGGAAATTCATAGCAGTTGGTGCCCATACTAGGAAAACAGAGCAAGCTCAAATAAACAACCTAATGCTTAACCTTAAGCTTCTAGAAAAAGAAGAGCAAGACAAACCAAAAGCTCATACAAGGGAGGAAATTATAAAGATCAGAGTAGAAATTAATGCGATGGAGCCTAAGAGAACTATACAAAAATAAAATCAGTGAATCAAAGAGTTGGTTTTTTGAAAGAATAAATAAAATCAATAAACTCTTAACCAACTTATAAAAAAAAGGAAAGAAAAGACTCATATCCATGTAATTAGGAATGAAAAAGGTGCAGTCACAGCAGACCCAGGAGAAATCCAGGGGATCATCAGTACCTACTTTGAGAACCTGTACTCTAATAAAATGGAAAGCACAGAAGAAATGGACAGATTCCTAGATACATCTGAACTTCCAAAATTGAACAAAGATGATATAAAAGTTCTAAACACCCCAATTACATTTAGTGAAATTGAAAAGTAATTAAAACATTACCAACAAAGAAAAGACCAGGTCCTGATGGCTTCACTGCTGAATTCTACAAGACATTTAGAGAAGAACTATCACCACTACCCTTTAAACTCTTCAGTGAAATTGAAATGGAAGCAATACTTCCAAATTCATTCCTGGAAGCAAGTATTACTTTAATTCCAAAACCAAGGAATGATCCAACAGAAAAAGAGAACTACAGGCCAATCTCCCTAATAAACATAGATGCAAAAATCCTTAATAAGATACTGGCAAACAGAATACAGAAGATCATCAAGAAGATCATACACTCTGACCAAATTGGATTTATCCCAGGGGTGCAAGGATGGTTCAACATATGTAAATCAATAAATGTAATACACTATATCAGCAGAGTCGAGGGAAAAATACATATGATCATCTCAATAGATGAAGAAAAAGCATTTCACAAAATTCAACACCCATTCATGATAACCCTACAAAAAATTGGAAGAGAGGCTTTTATCTCATCCTGATAAAGGCTATCTATGAAAAACCAACAACCAATATCAATCTAAATGGTCAAAAACTGAGAACTTTCATGCTAAAATCAGGAACAAGACAAAGATGTCCACTATCATGACTCCTGTTCAATATAGTTCTAGAAACAGCCACGGCAATTAGACAAGAGAAAGAAATGAAAGCAATAAAGATAGGAAAGGAAGAAAAACTGTCACTATTTGCTGATGATATGATACTCTACATAGAAGACCCAAAAAACTCTGCCAAAAGACTGCTAGACTTAATTGACAGATTCAGTAGAGTAGCTGGATATAAAGTCAACACTCAGAAATCAATTGCTTTCTTGTACACAAATAACAGACTCATTGAGAGACAAATTAGGGAAACAATTCCTTTCACAATAACATCCACAAAGAAAAAAAAAAAGAAATAATCTAGGAATCAATCTAACAAAGGAGACTAAAGACCTCTACACTGAAAATTACAGCACTCTGAAAAAAGAGATAGAAGAGGCTATAAGAAGATTAAAAGACAACCCTTGCTCCTGGGTAGGAAGAACCAACATAGTGAAAATGGCCATACTTCCAAATCTTCTATACAGATTCAATGCAATCCAGATTGAAATCCCAACAGTATACAAGATCCCAGTAATGAATGTAACTGTACTGTCTACCTAGAATGTACCAATAAATTCAATTTAAAAGAAATCCCAACAGTATATTTCACAGAACTTGAGAAAGCAATCCAAAAATTCATTTGGAACCAGAAGAGACCTAGAATAGCAAAAAACATTCTAGGCAACAGAGATATGGCAGGAGGATGACAATTTCCAACTTGAAGCTATATTACAAAGCCACTGTGATTAAAAAAAAAAACAACAGCATGGTACTGGCAAAG